GGGCAGCACCGCCCCGCCCCGCCGCCAGGCATTTCCCGGAGCAGTTGCCTGAGGAAGCCCCGGATTCGCGCTTCCTCCCATTAGTGTTGTGTCTTTTTGTTCCATCTTCATCTCGTGTGAAAGAGAAAGGAACCGGACGCCTCCGTTTTTGCAGCTCTCGGTTTCTCATGGAAATCACCAGTGGGGATGGGAGCGATGGGGGAGCCGAGAGTGAGGGACTTGCCGGGGACTAGCACCCGCTGCCAATCACGGACGAAATGTGTCATTACAGCTTTTGTTAGGAAATAGTCAGCTGTCCGGTAAGAGAGAAAGCGATTTCCTTAGATGATAGATTCCTCCTGGCATTCAGAGAAGTATACAGAACCTAGAAGAGATTTACCCTTTCAATGGACCGTTTCACTGTTGAAAAGGAGCTAAAATGGAGGTAGTAGTCGTTCCTCCTTTTGGCTTTATGTTAAGGAAAGAAACTTTCTTGAGCCCATTTTCCAGATTTAAAAAATGTAGCTAATAAAGTCTGTAGTTTATGAAATGTACATTCTAAAACTTAAACTAAGAAGTTGTTATAAAGAATTAGCAAGTCACTTTGAAGATAGAGCACAAATACAATAGGGTCTCCATTTAACATTTAAATTGGCTACCGTACTTTAATAGTGAAAGTACATGCATATAAAGCACCAACTTTATATGGAGGTTTCTAGTGTAACGAGATCCTGTCTTATCGTTAACTTTCTGTTTTGTTGTGGGTGGTGTATGTCTTGTTTTCATGTGTATCAGGAATATGCCACCAAAACAAGAATTGGGATCCGGCGTGGGAAAACCGGACAAGAACTCAAGGAAGCAGCATTGGAACCGTCAATGGAAAAAATATTTAAAAGTAGGTGCCTGACCAGATCTTCATAAAAGCCTAGTGTTGAGGGAGGGTCCTATTAACTGGCTGCCCTAGAGGCCTCTCGGAAGCAGGACCTTGGGTTCACAGTTTGCAATTCAGCTTTGCAAGTTGAGAAACTAGATTGTTAATCTACCCAAAGCCAGCCCAGGCTCCTTAACCTTGCAAAATGTCCATCTATTATGCAGGAGACAGCCTTCATTGGTATCCCTTGGGGTATTTCTGGTCAGTAAATTGGCCCTAGAAACCAAATTATATGAATCCTATAGCCATGGAATAGTAACGTTTGTGAACAAATTTAGACTAAAGGGAGTATGCTGGTCTTTATGAATACCTTTAACCAGTTAGAGTTAATAAATTGTTTCTTTCTTAGTATTAAAAGCAAAAGCACCCTCTCCCTTAATTCAGCGGCATAAGCATGGGTTACGTTTTTCTTTGATTCTTTTTTTCTTGACTCCATATAAAGCACCATCTTTGTTAATGTCACTGTAGACACAATGCGATCTAACTCTTAACATTTCTTTCTCATGTTTAAAATTATTTTATTGCTTGATAGATTTTAGAGAGAGAGGAAGGGGGAGAGAGAGGGGGAAAAAAAACATCTATTCTACTTTATATGCATTCATTGGTTGATTCTTGTATGTGCCCTGAACAAGGGTCGAACCCGAAACCTTGGAGTATCGGGATGACACTCTAACCAACTGAGCTACCCAGCCAGGGCTCTTTCTCATCTTTGCTTTCTAATTGTCATGAGAACACACCCCAAACTCTTATGAGTAAAATAACGTATCACAGAAGTCTCCCCACATCTACAGATACACTGCCTCTAATTTTGTTGGAGTGAGATGAAAGTTTAACCAAGTCTGATCCTTTTTGTACTAATTATTACACCTATGTTTCAGCAGTGTTCTTACTAGTCCCCTAATTCTAAGGCCATTTCTATATATACTAATTATAGCTATTACAAAGAAGTGTGGTGTATAGTTTGATTTCCCTCATTTACTGTAAGTATGGGGAAGGGCTTACTGCCAGCATTTTAATTTAGTTAAAACATGACGGTGTTAACCTGCATTTCCTCCTGTGTTCTGCAGTTGATCAGATGGGAAGATGGTTTATTGCTGGAGGGGCTGCTGTTGGCCTTGGTGCATTGTGCTACTATGGCTTGGGAATGTCTAATGAGATTGGAGCAATTGAAAAGGCTGTGTAAGTAAATTGTTCCCAAACAGTTCTAGCCTTAAAGCCTCCAATTTTCTTCTCATACTTACCTTTGGCCACTTTGGGAATGTTTTATGTCTAGTCTTCTTGTGTAGCAGAAAAATGAATACAGATAGAATCTCTTGTTTCCATGACCTATTCAAACCTAAATAAACTTCTTTTTCCAAGGTTATATGTATTCAGGTAAGGAGAAAATGTGTCACTTTGTATATAAGCCAAATGCTTATGTCTTTTATTATTATGGTCGTGCTTATTTTTTAAAGCAGATTTATTAAGGCATAATTTATATAAGTTCACCCATTATGAGTATACAATTCAGTGATTCTTGAATGTATAGAGGTTCAACTATCACCACAGCTGTTTTAGAACATTCCCATCACCTCGAAAAGATCCCTTATGCTTAATTGTAACCCTTCCATCCCCAGTCCCAGGAAACCATTAATCTTCTTTTTGCCTTTGTAGATTTACCTTTTTTGGACATGTAGTCAGAATAAAATCATGCTGTGTGTGGTCCTTTGGGCCTGGATTCTTTCACTTAGCACAATGTTTTTGAAGTGCAGCATTTTGTAGAATGCATATATCTCATTCTTTTTTGTGTGTTTTTTATTTTATTTTAATTTTTTCAAACTTTTCCATCACCATTTATCCCCTCTGTGCCCTCTTCCACCTCCACCCATTCTCCCCCGCCCCCTTATATGTCTTTTATCATTTACGTTTTACTTCAATGTATGCATCATTTCCATTCCAAATGAGGTGAATAAGATTTAGAGCAGTAACGTATTTCCCAAGACCTCCCAGCTAATCTGATTCAACCAAAATTCACATTCAGAATCTTATAAATTAACTTTTTTTTTTTTTTTACAGAATTTGGCCTCAGTATGTGAAGGATAGAATTCATTCTACCTATATGTACTTAGCAGGAAGCATTGGTTTAACAGCCTTGTCAGCCCTGGCAGTGAGCAGAACTCCTGTTCTCATGAACTTCATGATGAGAGGCTCTTGGGTGGTAAGTCAGCTTGTTTTTATTTACCTTTTCTACTCCATATCAAAAGATTAGACAAAAAATACTGGGACGGGTGTTAAAGGGAAAGAATACCTTACTAAATTGAACAGGTTTTTGTTCAAATAATATATGAAATTAGTAGTGCAGCTGAAATAGAGTAAGAAGTACACAGTGAAGTACGTCAGCTATTCTTTGTTGAATATGTATTTTATAGTGGCAAAGGGGTTGGAAACCAAACTTACAGGAATGTCCTATCTAGCAGCAGATACCAAACTGCCTGTATTTTGCATATCTTATAGCAATTTACTAAAATTAAGGGGGATTCCAAACCATCTTAGAGGTCAGTGGGAAATGCATATCACAAAAACCCTAACATTCTATACTATTAAAAGTAGAAAGTGCCACAACTATTCTGAGTTTTCTTGACCCTGTATAAGGAATATTGAATGAGTGTTTCTTGTGCATTTGTTATTTTACTAGATACCAAAAACTGATTTCAAGTGTGGTGACTATTTTTCTACTCTCTGGTTGAAGAAATAAACTAGAGTAAGTGGTAAAGAATATACAATAAGAAGTAGAAAGTTTAAAATCAGTGGAAAGATTATTTTTGTCTTGGACTAGTAGGGAAGTTCCATGAAGGACAGTTTTATCTCATCAGGGCCATTGAAGCCTGGCATTTTAGGAGAGTACAAGGGTAGTCCAAGTTTGCAAAACAGCTTGAGCAAAGAAAACAGTCATTAAAAATGACTTTATAGTTCATTAGCATATTTGAGGGTTGGTGTGTGAAGAAGACAGAAAGGGGCTGTGTGATTGGCAAGCTGAGAGGAGTGCCTAAGCAGTGGGAGGCCATTACAGATAACTGGAACAGCAAGAGGCTGATGGGTATTTGAGCATGGAGAACTAATGTGGAAGAGCCGGTGTACTAGCTCTGCCTTTGCAAGATCTGATGATAAGAGTGTGAACTAGAACAATATGAGGCTGGACTGGAAGGGAAGATGGGAGAGTCTATGTCAGCTGTGGGCAAACTATGGCCCGCGAAATGAATAAAACTAAAAAAAAAAAGACCGTACCCTTTTATGTAATGATGTTTACTTTGAATTTATATTAGTTCACACAAACACTCCATCCATGCTTTTGTTCCGGCCCTCCGGTCCAGTTTAAGAACCCATTGTGGCCCTCGAGTCAAAAAGTTTGCCCACCCCTGGTCTATGTAATACTTAGAGATGTCCCATGGCAAACCATTCTCCACCGGTAGCCCAAATCCATCTAACCTCCAAATCTGTAATATTTCCACAACATTATACATTCCAAAAGGAGAAACACTTATAGTAGCATAGCCATGTGGACAGTCAGTATTCTTAGGATATTACTTCTCAGATGGGTGTCATGAATTGCCTAGCCCCGTGGTCGGCAAACTGCAGCTCGTGAGCCACATGCGGCTCTTTGGCCCCTTGAGTGTGGCTCTTCCTAAGCCTTAGGAGTACCCTAATTAAGTTAATAACAGTGTACCTACCTATATAGTTTAAGTTTAAAAAATTTGGCTCTCAAAAGAAATTTCAATCGTTGTACTGTTGATATTTGGCTCTGTTGACTAATGAGTTTGCCGACCACTGGCCTAGCCTACAGGTTCTAGAAGACAGAGAATGAGCATGTGCATTCTCACCAGGAATGTTAGTTTAATCAGTAGTACGTAATTTACAATAGTACCTTTTGTAATTAAGCAAGCATGGCTATATGAGGGAGATCAAGATATGCAAAGGAGTTTAGCCCCTAAAATAAGACGTTAAAGAAGGTTTGTGCATGGGCCATAGTCTCAACTCCCTGTGGGCATTAGATCACTCTCATGTGCTTTTGCTCTCGTACTTAAGTAAAAGTTTAGAAAGCCAGACAGATGCTACAGTGGTGAAGATGTAGTCTTGGGGGGGGGGGGGGGGGGGGGGGGACTCTGGGAGGCCATGTCTGTAGACACTGATCACTCTACTAAGTGTCTTTGGAACAGAGGAGAGTCATCTGACACCTCTTGGCAGCAAGGGGACCCACCATAAACTTTCCCAGACAAAGGGAAGTCCTTGAGTAAGTCAGACAGGAAGGAGTTCTTGGGCACAATGAACTGAATTGCAGAGGCATGAGCCGGAGGCATGTCTGTAGCCCTACTAGTTCCCTGCAGCTGGAGTGGAGACTGGAAAGCTGAAAGGCAAAAAGTGGAACTGGATCATGAAGGACCTTAAAAGAAAAAAATGTGTAAATTGTGATAAATAACCTGAAAATGCTTTGCACAGAGATGTATGAAGTAGTTTTTAGTAATTGTGCATTGGAAAATGTTAGAATAGAACTCGGCATGCTTTTCTGTTTAATGTGAATTAAAGCAGCAGGTGCCTGCGTGTCAGACAGACAGTGCAGACGATGAGGCAGGTCTGGAGCATCGCACGGGATTCTTAGCAATCTGGAGAAAAGCCTTCCCAACCAGGAGCATTCGCGTTCAGTTATGGTGTTTGTTTAGTAATTGGCCAAATACCTGCTACCTGATTCTGTCCAAAAGCTACAAGTTTACAGTTTTTCCTTTAAATTTCCTGGATATTATCATCTTTCTTCCATTACCTATATTTCTTTCTTGTTATATACACAAGGGATCTTTACAAGTCATAACAATGGAAATCTAAGGCAAAGAAAAGGAAAGGACCAAGTCAGCCAGAAAGTTTGAAGGAGAGAAGCAGTCTTATTTCTCATCTTTTCCATGTGCTTTTATTTTTTTCAGGTTTCTTTTAGCAAGTGTGCTGTATATATTTTAATTGGTATATCATGACTAATATTTTTAAATGCTATTAGTGCTATACTAAAATATAATTTAAAATAATTCTGGGACTTTTAAAGAGATTTTGTGAAACCTTTGTCTAAAAATAATAAAGTTTTTTAAAGATGACGTTATTAGTCAAAGCTTAACTCATTCACTTAAAGCTGTCTGCAAATTTAAGGGCACTGGCACTCTTGTAACTTGTCCAAACGGAAATAAAGGCCTTTAATGTGTTGGGAAAACATGGTTTCTTGGAAACACTAACTGAAAATTAGAACTTGTGGGTTTCTACTTTGTTATTGTATAAAGATAGATTTTTCTTAGTAATATGTGTCTTTCAGACAATTGGTGCAACCTTTGCAGCCATGATTGGAGCTGGAATGCTGGTACAATCAATACCTTATGACCGGAGCCCAGGCCCAAAGCATCTTGCTTGGTTACTGCATTCTGGTATGTTCTAGTTTTCAGTTGTTATTAAAAAAATCTTGAATACTACCTTTGAGGTGGCTTTTCACAATCATAAATGCTTTGTACATAATTTAGTTAAGCTTCATGTTTAGAAAACACTTGTAATTTTCTACTTACTACTGTTTATATACTAAGACCAGGGACATCCCCAGTATTACACTTGCCTCCTGTATAGTCTAGTACATGTAGAGATTTTCTTTTCTGTGTTTCATCTAATACCAGGAGGATTTCAGACCTGATACCCATCATTTGAGAATTGTTTATATTGTGTATCTTTAAAAAAATTAAAATGGTGAAAAGAAGAAGAAGAAGAAGAGGAGGTTTTTGCAGTGCAGTATTTCAAGAAAGCAGTCAAAAAACTGTTTGGAAATACACGTTTGTGTCTGATGCGTTTAGGGTAGTTCTTGGCACAAGGTAACATTGGGCAGCAAAGGCTGTCAACCGTGCTGTTGCAGGGCAGTTTTCATATCCTTGTAGGTAGATGTAGTGAATTTTTTCTTAATTGTTGCAAGACAAATATTTGAAAGTTCAGACAAAGTTTTCTACCTCAAGTTTCCTGGAATAGTTTGTTTCTAGGTTGAATAAAGAGCCAACCAGACAGAGAAACAAAAATGCTTAGGTGCATGTTCTCTACCACAAAACAAGACATTGTATAAGCATTTCCCTGAAATTTCCAGGGAAACAGACTCTGAAATGTTCTAGCATGGTTAGTAAATGAAAATCAGGTTTTTGGCACTCAGTAACAACTCTGGGGTGAAATATGTCATTTATATGATTCCTATGCTATCTTTATTTTGCTAACTATGAGACAGCATGATTTCCTAACCTTGTTTTCAAGTCTCTTGGGTGTTAGATTATTCAATCATAGATGTTCTCCCTGGAGCTTTGCAGGAAAAATCACTGGTTGGGAGGGAGATGGTCCCTTTTCTTCTATTACCAATGACCTGCTTTTCAGAAAAAAATTATTTAGAATACTAGAATGTGCATTTGTTAATAAGACTTTCATTGAATCACCAAAATTCTCGCCATCTGAATTTTAACATTTACATTTATGTTTCTAAATCTCTTGGCTACTGAGTAATTTTGCACCTGTTTCCCATTTTAGACAATGAGTTCCTTGAGAAAACAGGGTTAGTGTCTTTTTATCTCGGATAAATAGGCAAGAGGCAGCCAATCAGTGATTCTCATCATTGTTTTCTCCCTCTTCCCCTCTAACTCTCTCCCCCTCTCCCCTCTGTCCTTAGTCCAGTGGTTCTCAGCCTTGGCTGCACATTAGAATCAGCTGGGAATCTTTTTAAAATCCTGATTTCTGGGCCTCATCCTCCGGAAATTCTGTTTCTTTGTTACTAATGTTGTGGCCCCACCCCATAACAAAGAAACAGAATTTCTAATGTGCAGCCAAGGTTGAGAACCACTGCCTTAGTCTCTTAGTCACTTGTTGAATTGAATTAAGCATTTCTACCTGCTTTGCTTACAAAACCCCTTTTAATCTGATGTCATTGTAGCATATAAATTACTTGAGTGGGTATTTTTTTTTAAATATGTTTTATTGATTTTTTGCAGAGAGGAAGGGAGAGGGAGAGAGAGTTAGAAACATCGATGAGAAAGAAACATTGATCAGCTGCCTCCTGCACACCTCCTACTGGGGATGTGCCCGCAACCAAGGTACATGCCCTTGACCGGAATCGAACCTGGGACCTTGCAGTCTGCAGGCCGACACTCTATCCACTGAGCCAAACCGGTTAGGGCTTGAGTCGGTATTTTATGTGTGTTGTGGGGGTGGGGTCCTTAAGACCACTAATTCACTCAGCAATTGTTTAGTACTCAGAGGTGAGGTTTATTACAATGAAAGGATGCACAAACGAATCAGCAAGGGGGAAAGATAAAGGCAGAGTCTGGAGTTGGAGAAATACATGATCTTTCAATGCTCTCCTTCCTGGGGGGGCACACCAAGAATGGGAAAAGAGGAGGAACGTGTAGTTTTTCTCCCCAGGGAAGCCAGTAGAGACTCAGTGTCTAAGGTTTTTATTTTTAGTTTATTTATTTATTTATTTGTAAATATATTTTTATTAATTTCAGAGAGGAAGGGAGAGGGAGAGATAGAAATATCAATGATGAGAGAGAATCACTGATTGGCTGTCTCCTGCATGCCCCACACTGGGAATTAAGCCTGGAACCCAGACCTGTGCCCTGACCAGGAATCAAACTATGACCTCCTGGTTCATAGGTCAATACTTAACCACTAAGCCAGGCAGACCAGGCCTAAGGTTTTTATTGAAAGCTGATCATGTAGGCACCCTCCTAGCAACTATCAAAAACCAGACTCCCTGCCCTGGCTGGTGTGCTCAGTGGTTGGAGTGTCAGCCTGCACACCAAGAGTCACGGTTTTGATTCCCAATCAAGGGCATGTACCTGGGTTCAGGTTCGATCCCTAGTCCCAGTTGGGGCACATGTGGGAGGCAACCAATCAATGTCTCTCTCTCTCACATTGATGTTTCTCTCTCTTTCTCCCTTTCTCTCTCCCCTCTGTCCTCTTTCCTCCCCTCCTTTCCACTCTTAAAAAAAAAAATCAATATAAAAATATCTTCAGGTGAGGATAACCACAAAAAATGAATAAAAAAACCAAACCAGACTTCCTGAAGGAAAGCAGGTCTTCAGCATAACTCAGGTGTTTGCACCAGTAGCCTAACTCTGTCAGTTAGAGAACTGTCCTAGTGCCAGGGTCTCAGATGAGAGGCAGGACTAACCTGGCAAGCAGGCCTTTGTAAAGACAGCCCTAGGCCTGCTATGTTAACCCAGGGCTGCACAGTATGAAGGCCAATTTCTTACTTTTGTTTTTTTTAATTGTTGTGGCTCAAAATTTGTTTTATTCTTCATAAACATCTTAGGAAGCTGGGTAGATATTAGCATATTCATATTTCATAATTGAGGAAACAGGCTGGGTGAGTCACACACCAGGAAGCACCAAAGTCAAGACTGGCACCCCAACCTTGTTTTTTCAAGTCCTGCACTGCCCATTGATTACTCGCTGGCGTGATTGAGATGGGACCCAGAGGGGGTTTGGATGATTCAAGGACAACTGCTCACAGGATCAAAAGGACATCAAAACTGACATTTTTTATCCAGATGTTTAGTACAGCTGTGGTCTCAATCAGGACCAAGTGATACGTCACAGAAATTACTGAAATGCTCATTGAAAAACTATTCTAATTGTGTTATTCCCCCAACTTTTTTGAGATGTAATTGACACATAATCTTATCTAATAAAGAGGGAATATGCTAATTGACCCTCATGCCATCGCAAAGATGGCAGTGCCCACAGCCAATAAGGAGAGAATATGCTAATTGCTGCCCTGCCCTCAACAATGGCAGCACCCACAGCCAATAAGGTGGGAATATGCTAGTTGACTGCCCCGCCCTCAAAGATGGCGGTGCCCACAGCCACAAGATGGCAGTGCCCAGTCCCCTTAGCCCTGCCAGGGTGGCAGGCGCGTGGCAAAGCCAGGCCCGGCCACTCTGCGCACCTGCCTCCAGAGTCCCCCAGTCCCCTTAGCCTCCCAGCCACCCAGGGCCAGCCCGAGGCACAGACAAACCTCGGATGGTGGCTGCCCGGCCTCCTGAGGCTCAGGTAACCAGGACCGGCCGAGGCTTGTGCTGCCGGCAGTGGCAGAAGCAGAGGGGTGATGGGGGCGTCGCCTTCCCCTGATCCCCAGGTCACCTCCCGCCCCTGAGGGCTCTCGAACTGTAAGAGGGGGTTAGGCCCGGCTGAGGGACCCCTCCTCCAGTGCATGAATTTTCATGCACCAGGCCTCTAGTATTGTATAAGTTTAAGGTGTGCAACATGTTGATTTGATACATGTATGTGTTGCAGAATTATTACCACCATGGCATTAAATAACACCTCCACACCATATTTGCCATTTCTTTTTTCCTAGTGGGAATATTTAAGATTTACTTTCTTAGCACCATTCAAGTGTATGATGCAGTATTATTGGCTATCATCTCTGTCAGAAATTCAGAAATAACAAGTAAAATCAGTGAATTACTGAAATAATAATTAGTAAAAGTTAATAGTACACACACCAAAATGACAGTCTGCAATCTGGGAGCACTTAACCAGAAATATCGAATGAGGCTTGGATATCCTATCTAATAATAGAGAAACATGGTAATTAACCATAACTTCGCTACCCTTCCCATTGGCTAATCAGCAAGATATGCAAATTAACTGCCAACCAAGGTGGCGGACGGCAGCCCCGCAGCTGAAGCAAACTTGCTTGCTTCAGTGACGGAGGAAGCCAAGGTTCCCCGCCTGCCGCAGCCCAGCTCTGAGCTCCAGATGCAACAATGTTGCAATTATAGAAGCTAAACTAACCCCAGATACCTGCTTTCAGCTGCCA